GCGGCTCGGCTCGGCGGGCTGCCGCGGCCTGAGGGCAGGACCCGGGCGGCCTTTGCTAACGGCCGCTCGGGGCCATCCTCGGTAGCGCAGGCGGCGGGGCGGTTACCTTGCGGCGGGGGGGAGTTAAAATACTGTCGAAACTTTAATTGGGAGGGGCGGCTGCGGTGGCGGAGAGCGGGTGGAGGCGGGATCGGTGTGCGGGGGTCACCCGGCGAGGAGGTGGCGGCGGAGGCCCGGACAGCCAGCCCTGCCCCGTGGCTGGTGCAGTGAGGTCGCTTTAACAGCTCTTTATCTTATTTATAAATAACATTCAGTGGGGTGTTTGCTTTGTTTTGTTTTTATAGAATGTATTTGCACTGGTTTTGGAACGGAAGCGCTTCTGTAGTAAGTTTGCATCTTTTTACCTAATTGTGCACTCGGTGGTGTTTTCACAAGGCCAGGCATTGCTATGAGAAACCTAGTGAGGTGACAAGGTGCCATTAGTTAGGCCCCCTTTCTTAAGAGAGCGGGTAGTAGAGATGCTGTTACCTTACAGCAGTCTTTCGGTCGTGAGCCAGCTGACACCTCGCTCTTGCAGATTCTTCCCTGTCCTTCTTGTTTTCTGTATCTGCAAGCGTTCCCGTAAACCTCGGAGCTGCTTTTCTTATGTTCCCAAACAATGGCTGGAAAGCCTCAGAATAAGAGCTCTGCTGCAGCTATATAAATAAAGTAACAAGGGACTTGATAGTGTGACTGGTAGATTTGACAATGAGAAGCAGCATGCCTATGGTCCAGCAGAGGAACAGTACAGCACCAGCTGTGATGGGGTGTGCCAGGAAATATCTAATTATTTTTTTTTAGGGCATTTGTTAGCTCACTGGCAAGCAGTGCTGTGGGTGCTGGTGAGAGGGAGCTAGAAGCAGTTGCAGGCTGCTGTCGCTGAGGGGTAGCAGGTATCGGACTGGCTCAGTGCACAGTCCCCCTGTGAGCACAGCTCAGTTGTCCTCTTGGCTTTGAAGTACTTAGTCATAATAGAGAAGCAAAGCCAGTGTTAAGACTTCTGAAGTCCTGAATAAGTTTGCTGGTTTGAGGTTGTCATGAATCATAAATGTCTTGAACATGAAGGTGTTTCACCACCATTTCTAAAAAAAACTTGCTTCAGCTTCAGGCCTATCCTATAAATCCAGTTGACATTGTGTATGAACACGTAGGGGCCAACAGTCACATTTTTCAAGGTACATGTATGTTCACTGGTTAGCAGATACTAGAAATTTCAATCCCACTGTTACTTCTGTAAAACTTGAAGGCTCCTTCTGATGTTAGTGGATATTATCAACTATTTCATAATGTCCATTAAATATTCTATGTAAAACAATAAATCTTTCATTTTAGAAAGTCTAGTGGCATTATCTTTCATTCAGAGCTGAAACAGGACTAAGAATTACAGTCCAGGAAACTATGTGGTTTTTCCCTCGCTGCTGTTTGCCTCTGCAATACAGTTTTCCCATGAGTCCTGAAGTATCACTGTCAGCTAATCCATGGGAAATTTAGTGATGTCAGTGAGGACATCGTATTTCAAGTTAGAGGTCTGCTGCCAACACCAGTCTATAATATCAGTAGAGATTTTTTCCCAGATCAGAAGGTTAATCTTTGTGTCATATTAAAGTTCTTGCAAAGAAAATGGGAGGATTATAAAGCATATCTGTTTAAATTAGATTTGGCACTTGGTGCCTGTTGTTTACCAACAACTTTACAAACACTTATTGATTGATTGTCACAATATCTCTAGGTGTTACTAGCCTTAATTTCCTGGCAGAGCAGCTTAGTAGAGAGTTTAAGTGACCTAACTAAAGGGTGAGATGAGAATCAATGGTAAATCAGGATTCAAATTTAGGAATGCTGGATTCAAAGATCAAGTTTCTCTTGCATCATGTTGCCATGTCAGAAGTGAAGGTGTCAGGTAACATAATGTAGAGGGTCAAAATGATAAATGCACAGGTACCAAAGATGCCACACAGGAAAAGACAAAGATTGAACAGTGTACACCGAGACTGTATCCCATCCTGTCCTCCTCCTGACAGCTGGAAGCTGCTGCATCTTGGCAGCATCCCCCAGCCTCTGATTCCCATTAGCTTCTGAAGTCAGTGGGAACTGATAATTGCTGGCTTGCACAGAAGGAAGAGATTGCTAATCAGCCAGGTGGTGTCATGATGACTTTGTTGCTGAGTTTCTACAACCCTACTTGGCTGCTAATTTGGAAAAGTAAAATGTAGCCTTGGGTATCATCCGTGAATGGCTGCTGCCCCCCAGGTCGACAGGATTGCATCTCAAAAGGAGTCGGGTAGTGGTGCCTGTAGGGCTGCTGGTCACATGCAGCTAGCTTAGCCTTCTTATTTCCAGCAGCTAAATCATATTAAGAAGCAATTAATGTTCATTATATACTTTCCTAATGCTGCCTTCTCATCTAAGCAATGGCTGTCATAGGGATATTAGTTATTGCAAATAGGAGAGGAGATGACTGGTACAGTTAGGAACAAGAGAAAGGTACTAAAGATATTCAGTGGAATGGGAGTCCCATGTTGTTGTAAAGCATGAGAGTCCCCAGAGTGAGCTGTTGGTGCGAGACTACTATTTTGGTATTTTTAGTGTAGGCATCAATGTGAGTGTTTTTAGCAAAAAAAAATCCAACAAACCCACAGAAAGGAAATATGTGTTTCAAACTGGGAGAAAGCCATTGGTTCATTGAGTTTCACAACTTTTTCATTTATTTCCACCCACAGTTTTGGGCAACATGGTTTACATCATGATAAACAGCAAGAAGGGAGGTGCTGTCTGCTAGACTCCAGGACATCAAATTGTCCAGATCATTTCACAAAAGAAAAATGGCAAAAACCAGTGGATTCCTTTACCCCATTAAAAAAAAAAAAAAAAGTCAAATCCACCCCCAGTAATCACCTTGTGTGGCTGTTGCTGCTAGGCTTTTTCAGTTTTGCCTTAATGTTTTTCACTGTTTTTTCAGGATGGGATTTTGTGTCCTATAACTTACAAATTGAGCTTTATTAAAATAATAATGTAATGACTAAATTCAGCCAGCAAACAGTCTGTTGGGGTCTACATAAAACTAGCTGAAGCATTAGGTATTTAAAAGCAGTTAAATCAGGACATATGGAGAAGTCTTCAAGATGCTGAGCATCTCATAAGATGTCACACTTACAGTGGACTTGCCTCTTGTGCACAAACAATTTTTCACTGTTGTAAACTGGCTATGATTTTTATTTGTCAGAGTAATGTATTGTGTGTGCTTCACCAGATTCCTCTCTTTAGTTCAACCGAGTAACCAGCTTTTCCTCTTTAGCAATCGTGATCCTGCCCCGTGGCAGATAAACGTTCGTTGCCAAAAATGCATCTTGTAGCATAAGCAAACTTGAGGCTAGTAACTACTGAAAATCAGTGCTCTACTGCCAGCCACCATGCAAGGCTTCATCCAATTAAGGGCACCAGGGGAATTGAAATGCCCAGGATTGTAATGCAGTCCAGTGTTTATGCTCTTCTTAAAGAGGCTGATGGGGGGAAGAGGATCTGAATTCTAGTTAGATACAAAGGAGGATTTCCATGCAGAAACACCCAAAACTTGCAAGTTGTTAACCTGAAAGGAGAGGTTATTTTTTTCCCCTGTTCTCTCTTCTTCCTAAATGCTCTCAGCATGAATTCTTAACATGATACTATAAGAAAGGCCATACTGGGTCAGACTAGAACAGTGTGTTCTTCAGGCAGTGCCCAGTAGCAGACTCCTAGGGAACTGTGCAGTGATCCATCCCTAGGATCCTTTCTCAGCTTCCAGCAATCAACGGCTCAGAGAATTTCTGAACCTGAGCTTATCTGTGTGTTTAGTCACCTCTCCGGGATTTTTCTTTCATGATTGTGTCTAATTGCTTTTTGAAACCATGTAAACTTTTGGCATCAACAGCAGCTTGTGTCAGTGATTTCCATCCAAGCTGAAATCCTTCCCAATTACAGTTAGCCCAGGAAGAATTTGCGAAGAAAAGTCTCTGTTGTTGTTTGGAAACTCTGATCTCTTATGCTAAAGGACATGAAGTGGTAGGTATTCTTTTGCAGAGAATTTTACTACACATTGGACAAATCAGCGCTGCTGTTAATACAAATTCACAGCATCCATTGCTAGAATTCAGAGTGAGTTATTACAGATCATACTGTGACTGCAAATTAAAAATAATGCATGATACTCGACCAAATCCTAATGGACCAATGGCACAATGTCAAATACATCAGGAGCAAAGACTTTTAATACTATTATTAAAACCCCAAGCAAACAAACAAAGCAAGTAAATCAGCACTGACAAAAATTGTTCGAGCAATGTTTACTCGTCATAGATCAGCATGCAGACTGACGGTACAGCTCCCAGCGGTTCTTAAAATGCCTGCACGGCTGAAGGGGGAATATGCCTCCAGGGATGTCACATAATGGAAGGGTTCTCATCAGGCACTATGGTTGATGGTTGAGGTAATTACGTCAAGCTAAACATTTCTTTCCATCAGTGCGCGTGGCACACTGTGTCCAGCTGCTTATCTGTAGAAAAATCCGATTTGGGATCACATGTTTG